ATAATTGAAATTGCTTGCATAATTTCATCACCAGTATTACATTAATTACATAACTGAAGTACAAATGACTTCTACTACCACACATGTGTAGCCAGATAATATTACAGTTGATTTAGAAAGCATGTTTTCAAATGTGTTGCTCAACTTGATAAAGTGTGCGTTGCATCAGAAGCTCTTCTGAACGTCACCTTGCATGAAGAGACTTTATCTGATATTTCTTGTAACACCTCAGCTTGCAGAGCTTAGTCGGTGTAGTGTCCTTTTCATGGTATAGTCATCAAGTTTGATGAATAACCTTAAAAAAAAAATACATACTAAGTTACTATTTTGTTCCTTCTGACTTGTCTTTTTTTAGGTATCAATAGTGATGTGAAAAAGATACTCTATACTAGTAATATTTTTACAATACATGGTGAGGTTAATCAGAATATTTGGACAATGTTTAAAATGGTATGATCTAAACTATATGATCAATATGACAATATATGATATTCAACAAAGTAAAATTCATGATGAAAATAGAAATATAGAAATATCCTGACTAAAGATCAGTACTCTCTATGAAAGTAAATATCCTAGGTTGATAATTATTTAGCATAAGTACAGATACTTCAGTGTAACTGATCGTTCTTTTCTATATTCTTTAATATTAATTTTGTTCACTAAAATTCACATTTAAAAGATGAAGTAGAAAGCAATCCTACATATGAAACACTGTATAATACTTTAAAATATGCAATACTTTAAATATTTATGCTCATGCTTTCAAGTATATGAGTGAGCTTCATAAATTTCATAAAAAAATGGAATTAGAAGATAATGGTGCTTTCCACTAACTTTAATATATATTTAGATGAATTATGCTGAAGAACAAATTTGACTGATGGTGAGCTATTTTTTAATAACAACTCTGCTTAATGTCTTAGGTATTCTACCTTTTAATTATCTAGAAGAAGGCATGCTATATAGGATGAAAGCAACAAAGTTTTAAAATTCGTTTTTTTTTGCCCAATGCTAATTTGGAGTCCAGGTGTGGCGCTGTGGGTTAGTGCTCCAGACTGCAAAGCCGTTTGAACTGCAAGGTCAGCGGTTCAAACTCACCAGGTGCTCCTCGGAAACCCTATATGGGGGTCGCTATGGGTCGGCATTGATTTGACAGCACTAAACAACAACAACAATGCTAATTTATAATTATGATGATTATTATTAATGAATAAAAGATAATTTTCCTAAGATAAAGCGGTTCTTACTTTTTTATCTTATGTATTTGTTTTTAACAGTGCATTATGTCATCATATATATCCTGTTGTTGTTGTTAAGTACTGTGGAGTCGGTTCCGACTCCTAGTAACCCTGAACAGGGTTTCTGAGGCTGTAAATCTTTACGGGAGCAGAAAGCCTCATCTTTCTCCCGCGGAACAGCTGGTAATTTCAAACTGCCGATCTTGAGGTTAGCAGCCTGATTCGTAACCATTACGCTACCAGAGCTCCTTATATATCCAGTAGAAATCTCTGAATAACATTTATCAGGTTTTATAAACACCGAAATAAGATAATGGTATAAGCATTAATATATCCTGTGGTGGCGGTGTGCCGTGGAGTCAGTTCTGACTCATAGCAACCCTGCCGACACTGCATATAGACGGTATTGTTGTTAAGTACTGTGGAGTCGGTTCCGACTCATAGTGACCCTGTACAGGGTTTCCGAGGCTGCTAATCTTTACGGGAGCAGAAAGCCTCATCTTTCTCCCTCGGAAAAGCTGGTAGTTTCGAACTGCCAACCTTGAGGTTAGCAGGCCGATTCGTAACCACTACTCTACCAGAGCTCCTTATAGAAAGTATGTTGTTGTTGTTGTTGTTGTTATGTGCCGTGGAGTCGGTTCTGACTCATAGCGCCCCCTTACAGGGTTTCCGAGGCTGTAAATCTTTATAGAAATCCCTTAATACTTATACAATTATCTTACTTTGGTGTTTATACAACTTGATAAAAGGAATTTTTAACAACCCTCAACTCTGATTGTACTTATGAGAAAACTGAGACTTAGAAAGATCAGCTTATATGTTCAAGACTGTCAAACTTTCTATGTAAGAGTAACAACACTGTGTGGCAATACATCATATTTAGCCATGATATATATAATTTTTTTTTTTTTTTCATAATACATACACATCTATATGAGGGGGCGTCAAAAACTTTGTGGAAAAATTCCATTATCTTTCAATTCTATTTTCAGCCAAACATTTTGAAGCCTCCTCATATGTGCGTGTGTGTGTTGTGTGTGTATTATGTTTATGTATATTTGTGTGGCACTACAGTCCTTGTGGGACTCCTGGTGTAGCTCTGTGGATTAATGCACAGATTGCAAAACTGTTTGAACTGCAAGGTCAGCAGTTCAAGCTCACCAGCTGATCCTCGGAGACCTTATACAGGGTCGCTATGGGTCGGAACCGACTT